AATTTAAAAATAGAATTGAATTAACAAACAGAATTTAAAAGGGACTAATTTTTTTTATAAATTTTACAAAGATAAAAAATATTTGAACTAAGGGAGGACTAATTACAAAAATAATAGTTTTACTGTGAGGATTTTATTAAAAAATATTATGGAGGGACCAAAAAACAAAAGTCACCAATTACCGGTCCCCAAAGCGGTCAGATTTTTTTTATATTTTTTTTCATTCTATCACATTCAACCAAGAAGAAGGAAAACAATTTTGTTTTTGCCTTCAAAATTTAAAATATTTATTTTCTTTCATCCGTGAAAATTCATCCAAACAAAACTTTAGTCTCACATTCCTCAAAAAAGACTTTAGTCTCACAGACCGCATTATCTCCATAGTATTACTCCCTCCGTCCTATAATGATCTTCCCGGTTCGCAAAATGAAGAAAAATCTCAAGTTTTTTCAATCTATTTTATTTAAATAAAACATACATATTTAAAAACTACATCAAAACTTCAACAAAACAAGTGGTGACAAGAATATTTTATTTTACCATATAGGTCATGAAAAAACACAAATAAATATAAATTCCCGTGAAGTTGGAATAGTGTTCTGGGAAGATCATTATAGGACAGAGGGAGTATTTTTTATGGGTCATCCTACACTTACACAAAAAATTGTACCTCATTTGTACACCGCAGTTATACACAAACATTTTGATGGTTTACACCGATACAAGTGTCGGTGCGTTAACAAAAATTTACACGGACACAAAGTGTTGGTGCGTTAATAAAAATTAGTTTACACTAACACAAAATGTCGATGCAAACCTGCGATGTACAAAAGGGGTACAAAAATTTGGAGTACAAATAGCTTTATCCTTTTTTTATTTATTCGTTTTTACAATTCACTTTGGTTTTAAAAAAACCACGTGTAATTTAAAAAATTGTTTGATTCTGTGAGAAAATGGAGTGCCACAAAATAAATAAATAAATAAATAAGGGTCTGTTTGGGAATAATGTTAGGGATTAGTATTAATATTTTGGATAAAAATTTAACGGTGTGGATTACTTTGAAAACGTTAAACGTTGCCCGTAGATAACATTTTCAAAACGTTAACGCTTATCTCTAAAGTTATTTCCAAACAAGACCTAAATAAATTATGAGTACCTTATGTGAATTAATTGAGGCGAGAAAGGTAGTGTTCCGTTCAATTTATTTTTCTACTTATTCGTATTATAATCAGATGAGATCAGAAACAATTTTAACTATAACTACAATCAGATGATATCAAGCAGATGAAATACAGCCAAAACCATCACATATGCAGCGGCATTCAAAATTCCAGAGGGTTTACTATATTTAACATCCGCCATTTATGGAAAAGTAATCAAGTGTTCCGGTTTAGGAAAACTGCACCCATCTGTTTAATTAAATCATTGTTTCGAAAAACCACTGGTAAAAAAAAGTTGTTGGATCGGAATTAACGTTTTTGTTATCGCCCCGTGTCTATTTTCAATGTATATTATTAATACGGTGGTGTTCTAGTGACACCGGAGTACGGTAACACTCCGGTGCTACTGTCATTTTGGAGCACTTTCGGTGCTCTGTTCGTAAAATTGACGGTTCCCACACTCCCTAACCCACCCCTAAACCCTCCACCTTACGCCGCCTCCCCTGCATAATAGTCACACATTTTGTGAAGGGCTTACGGCGGGGTTGAGGTGACGGTGCAGAGGCAGGGGTAGGGTGTGGGGGTTTAAGGGGGTAAGAATTGTCACTAAAGATTTAAAATTTAGTGGGACATTGTTTTTTTAGGGTGAAAAATATAAACAAATATGAGTTGTTCTTCCGTGTTTTAAACATCCGCATGTGAAATGCATACATTCTCATATTTTTCATGAGCTAGCAAGTTGAATTTTTCTTTTTTTGCATAAGGCCCATTTTTTTTATGTATCAATACATTAACGATTATAAAACGAGCATGTACTTTAACATCACGTAAGAATTTGTCTACAAAGATATACTCAGTATTAAGTTGCAATGAAGTTATTAGTATTAAAAAAAGTAATTTCCATAATTAGTCCTTTATCACAGGGAGGTTTCCTTATTTAGTCCTTTATTATCAAATATTACCCAGTAGTCTTTCTTTTATGAGTATCTTTCCACAAATAGTCATTTTTTATCTTCAATCATGTTGGTGTTAATTTAGAAGCTAAAAATGTAATTTCACAATGATAATACATCTTTTTTGTCATAGATAATTCCAAAGGCTGTTTCGTTTGCGTCGTTTGTGAATTACAGTCGCTTTCTACTGCAACCATAGTTTATAAATGTGGTTTTTCGTCAGAATCCTAGCCCACAATCATAGTCATTATTTTTGTGTTATCCGCTTAACCAATATCAGAACACGTCACTAGACATAATATTGATGTCAAATTATACTTTTAGCCTTTAAATTAACACCAACATGACAGAAGATCAAAAAAAGACCATTTTTGGAAAGGCACCCTTAAAAAAGGACCGCGAGGATAATATTTGATAATAGAGGACTAAATATGGAAACCCCCTGTTATAAAGGACCAACTATGGAATTTACTCTATTAAAAATGTTAATAGTATTAAAAATGACATTATGTTTAACCTCAAATACTTACGCTATGTTTGGTTCGACGAATTCGAAAGAAAATTAAAAGAAAAATTTCTCTCATGGTTTGAAAAATGAATGTGAGAAAAGGGGAACAAGACTCCTTCGGTCCTCCCCCCTTAATTGGTTTGAAAAATGAATGTGAGAAAAGTTCAAAATTTTAGCTTCATTTTTCATCTCCTCCACTCTAGATTAGAGAGCTTCTTATTCCCTCCAGCTCTTCTCCATGTTCTTTCGTCAATTTTCTCTCAATCTTGTTATTAAAAAATAAATTTCAAATAATAATAATAAATATTATTAAAATAAAACAAATAATAATAATAATCAAAAATATACTCTATAATTACATAATACTTGAGTAAAAAATAAAACATCAAACTAATAATAAAAAAATTATGATAAAAAATAAAACTACTAATAATTCCCTCATAGAAATTTTGTGTGTGATATTAGCTTTTGGTATTACTGTGTGTGTAGGGATTGATTCCAGTGAGATGACACTTTACGGTGAGATAACATGCTTGAGTGAGATGACGTCAAAATCACCACACTAAACCACAAAGCTCACTAGAAATAAAGCAAAACTCACCACTTTGAACACCAAAAATCACCTTTTTAAAAAAATTTTGAAAATTAAAAAATTAATTAAAAATAGCAACACCGGTCAACCGCAGCAGCAGGCGGCGGAGCAGCGGCGGCTTCCGGCAACTGGCGGTGGATTCTGGCGACAGGCGGCAGAGCGGAGGCGGCCGGCGGCGGTCAAATGTTGTGGTCAACGGTCAAAATCTAATCAGCACCCCTTCCTTTGATTTTATTTTTTCAAAAAAAAATTCAATGTGTTGAAAAAATATGATGAGCTTTACTTTACAGTTTGGTAAGCATTGTAGTTGTCTTTGGTGAGCTTTGCAGTGCCCAATGGTAAGCTTTGTGTCATGTAATCGTAACATGTCATCTCACCGTAAGATGTCATATCACTGGAGTCAATCCCATATATATATATATATATATATATATATATGTATATATATGTGTGTGTGTGTGTATATATATATATATTTGTTTTTTTTTGAAGAAAATGAAGTTACGAATTTGGGTAATAATTAATTTTAGTTTTCTTTAATTCTTTTTATTGAGGGATGGCATATTCCATTCGTGATTCCACCAACAAAAATTGGTTCCCCGACAGACATCGTCTCATAAAATGTCGACTCCTTGATTTACATGACTTAGGCCCTCTTTGGCATCACCTTCAGAGATTAGCGTTAGCGTTTTAAAAAAGCTATTCGACGGTAGCCTTTAGCGTTAGCGTTTTCAGAATTAATCTGCACCGTTAAATTTTATCGAAAACGCTAACGTTAATCGAAAACGCTGTTACCAAACGAAGCCTTAATTTTTAAGTGAGTCTAACGTCAAACCCTTTGAATAACTATCTAAACATTTTTATAAATACTAATTTAATTTGTTTATTTATAAATGAAATGCTCCGCAATTAATTTAGACCTAACTTAACTTCATAAATTAATTGAAATGGTTAAGATATCCAAACTATTTTTTATTGGGTTGTTTGTGAACGATTAGCGTCAGCGTTTTATTTAAATTTTAATGATATAGATTAATTTTAAAAATGGTAACGCTAAATGCTACTCGTGGATAACAACTTATTCAAAACAACTTAGTTCTCATGACATTGGTCCTTGGTTCCTATGCCATTGGTTGTCATGGGATGACTTGGGGGTGCTCCGGTGCTTCATTCGTAAAATTGACGGTTCTTACCCCCTAACCCTCCTATAACCCCCTACCCCGCCCCGAATACGCCCCCACCCACTTCAATTGCACCCCTAAGTTGATTTTGACTTTGGAGTCGAATTTTGACTCCAAAGTCAAAATCAACTTCGGGGTTCAATTGAAGTGGGTGGGGGGTTTACTGGTGGGGGGGGGGGGGTTAGAGGAGTAGGAACCGTCAATTTTACGAACGGGGCACCGGAGCACCTCCGGATCATCCCATGACATAGGTTCTCAATGTCATGAGAACCGACCTCTATTCAAAATGTTAACGATAATCTCGGATACTATTTCCAAACATACTCCGTACTTATTATGCTTTAAATACGTTAAAGTTCCGTTTACACTGTAATCTAGAAATACCGGAAGTGCTTGAAATATGCAAGTGTCATCCGTCGACATTAGATTATAGTGTCAATAGAATCTTGTCGATATTAAAATGACATGACTCATATCTCTCTTTTTTTCTATAAGAAAATTTGATATTATTTTTAATATATAAATTTGTTATTTTAATTTTTTTTGTCAAATTATGCAAATAAATTAGTTTAGGAAATTTAAAATAAACTGAAAAGTCAATCGGAATAAATATATGCAAAGCAAACGTGCATAGATTTGTCCGTGTGAAAAGCTCAGATGCTTCCTTCTCCCCCCGCCTTCTTCCTCTCTGCATTTGTACAGGCACCCTCTCTTTAAAAATCATTTCTTTATGATTTTAAAGCTTGAACTTCGAAATGTTGGGCAACACCTGATTTAGATAAATCAATTCTGGGTTTGTTTCTTTATTATGACTGTTAAGATATGATGGATTTCTTGCGGGAAGCAGAATTCTGGGCGAATATTTATTTATTTATTTATCTTTAAATATGTGTTCTTTGAGTATTTGATTGGGATGATGCTACTTGTGATTCTGCTCCAGTGAGCCTGCTCGGTTGAACTGTAATTTCTTTTTTTAGAAACCGTCGCATGATTTCTCAGTATTCAGATGTAGAGCTTTTTCTTAGTTGTATGTTTGATTAGAACAGAAACATACTTGCTTATGATTCAACTGGGCAAATCAATGTTTGTTTATGATGTTCTTTTGAAGAGGGCAATGATTTGAATCTATGATTAATGTGCAGTGGTTGCTTGTGAAGTAATCAGGGAACTAACTGCATAAATGGGGGGCGATAAGCCGTCCATTGGGTTACTGGACACCCTTAATATGGAGACAGTCCGGACGATTTTAACCCATCCGTACCCGTACCCCCACGAACACTCGCGACATCTTTTCATTGCTGTGGTTGTGGGCTGCTTGTTCTTTATATCGTCTGATAATATCCACACTCTTGTCCAGAAACTAGACACCAACATCAAATGGTGGTCTATTTATGCCTGCTTGCTAGGATTCTTTTACTTCTTTTCCTCTCCATTCATTGGGAAAACAATTCGGCCTAACTATTCGAATTTCAGCCGATGGTATGTGTTTTTGAAGCTGCTACCACCATTTTTCTCATGTCAAATTCACTGTTTTGTTTAGTTGTTCCATCCGTCCCACTTTTTGTGTGTGTCTAAAATAGAGTGGCAGAAACGTTAAGTAAGAGTTGAATTGTGTGGCTGATGTTGATTTTGTGAGGTGTGAATCATACCAAGCATAGTATGTCACGTAATTAGTGGGACGGGCGATAATGGTAAAAAGGGAGAAAAATAGTGTGACGGAGGGAGTAATAAAAAAGAATCACTAGTAGGAACTTGTATTTCTAATTGCTTGCAGGTATATAGTCTGGATATTGGTTGCAGCACTTTATCATCTTCCCAGTTTTCAATCAATGGGAGTTGATCTAAGGATGAATCTCTCTTTGTTTTTGACAATATACGTCTCGTCCATCTCCTTTCTGCTTGTTTTCCATCTCATTTTTATTGGGCTTTGGCATCTTGGTCTTGTGGCTCGCGTGGCTAAAAGAAGGCCTGAAATTCTTGCAATAATTCAAAATTGCGCTGTAAGCTCACTGATAACCTCTTAAGACTATGTTTTGGGGTTGGAATTTTGAGGGTTTTGGAGATGAAGGGAGGGAGGAGTCATTGTTTACATATAAATACAAGATAACTACTTATAGTTTATGATAATGAATAAATGACTAGGACATAAGTTAATCATAATTTATCATTTCATGTATTTTATTGTGAAAAATCATCAAGTTATAGCAATATTTGCTTAGAGCCTTAAAAATCCCCGCCCCTCCAATACCCTTCATAATCCAACTCACTAGCATAGCGTAATTTTATAAATGAATGCAAATTGCACTTGATCTTATTTTCTGGACTTTTTCACTTGTGTAGGTTTTAAGTATAGCCTGCTGTGTATTTTATAGCCACTGTGGCAACCTTGCTATTGTGAGGGAAAAGACATTTGACCGTAGAGATTCTCTCTGGTTTTCTCTTTGGCGAAAGGGAGAGAGAAACACATGGCTTGCAAAATTTGTTCGACTGAGCGAGTTCAAAGAACAAGTTTGTAAATCTTGGTTTGCACCTGTTGGCTCTGCCAGCGACTATCCATTTTTATCTAAATGGGTCATATATGGAGAGGTATGATCTCTCATGGCTCATAGCTTTGGCTATCTTGTCATTGATGTAATCAAGGAGCTCATATATTGATACTGTCCCTTTGCATTTTGATTTATTATTTCCAGTTGAGTTGTGGCGGTGCATGTGCAGAATCATCAGATGAAATCTCCCCAATATATTCTTTATGGGCCACTTTTATCGGCCTTTACATTGCCAATTATGTTGTGGAAAGATCATCGGGGTAAGTAAGCTAAGTGCCTTCTTTCTTTTTGACAAACCAATAGGAAATATGGTGTATGCTTTGAAGTATCATGTCTGGCATGTTATTGAACCCTCACCATCATTGCAAAACTTTGTCAGAAGAAGTATTCCCATATCTGAACCATATAAATCCCCTGATGTTAGTGTTTTTGTTCACTTAGAATATGTTTGGTTCACGAAACGTGCTAGCGAAAAGGAAACAAATGTCAAGGGAAGTTTTTGTTCTCTTTTGTTTTGTGTTCCCTTCGAAAATGCAAAGGAAAAAATGTGATTACTTCTGAACTTTTTTTAATCACATATATTTATATTTCTTAGTGTTTATAAGCTAAATGAAATGTTTTCGAACAAGTAGCTAAAATAAATTCATTGAGTGTTAGTCCATCTTTAATTTTCCACCACATTATCTTTCCATCTATGTTGTCTCAATGTTTTTCATCATATTTCCCCCCAAATATCTTCTCAAATGAACCCTTAGGCTACATGTTATTATACTCGACTGCTAATGAACTCTTGGATGGAACATGCCAAATGGTATAGGATTACACTCTCCTGTACTACCTCCCTCACAGAACTACTTTAAACTATATCCTTCTTTTCTATGTTCTTGACTCACAGATGGGCCCTTTCTCACCCTCTATCGCACAAAGAATATGAGAAGTTGAAAAAAAAGCAGATGAAGCCCGAGTTTCTGGACATGGTTCCTTGGTATTCGGGGTAGGCATCAATATCCATTTATCATCCTATATGGGCCCGAAGTGCCATCAATCACTTAAATGTGGGCCATATGTTGTACAGGACATCGGCGGATTTGTTTAAGACAGTGTTTGACTTAATAGTCTCAGTGACACTGTTTGTGGGACGTTTCGATATGCGCATGATGCAGGTGTGGTTATGTATGTCTTATCACATTTAAATAGATCTTCAGATTGCATGACATTGTTTCACGTGAGAATAGTGTCATGGTTTTGGAATTATAGGCGGCAATGAGTGGAGTTCAAGATGGGGCTAAACAGGATGATCTTCTGTATGATCATTTCAGTGAAAAGGATGACTTCTGGTTTGACTTTATGGCTGATACTGGTGATGGTGGAAATTCTTCATATACAGTGGCACACCTTCTTGCTCAACCTTCATTATTTGTCCAGAATAATGGCACTCTACTTAGGTTGCCCCGTGGGAATCTTCTTCTCATAGGTGGCGATCTCGCGTAAGCCCAAACTTTTTTCTTTAATCTCTTTGAATTATGCTATTAATTGTTTAAGTTAAATGCCCCACCTCCTCCACACTCACCCTCCAAAAAAAGAGGAATATTGTTTTAGATGTTATTTTTCATTGAATTTAATGTACTTGTTCAAAACCATTTTCTGGATAAGTATGTTAAACTTATTTGAACAAATAATTGAATTTAAAAATATAAGTAGGATTGATAATACAAGAGCCACACCTTAGTAAAACTGAAAGGTTGTACCTTGATGAAACATGACTTTTTGTGGGATTTTTTTGGAACCAAATGCACAAGATAATAACCACCAAAAAGCCAAACGTTTACAACCAAAAGGAACATAAACCCAAACAAATTAACTACTTACATCTTCTCATTTTAAGTTCTACATAGCTATGAAAAGTAAAGTGGACATAATCTATAGTATTCTGTTCATTGATAATGAGCATGCCCTTTTCCTGCCATCCAGACTCCAAAGCAGCAAATTGCCCATACAGCCAAGATTTTTCTCCTGTTATTAATGCTGAACTTCCTTCTGATCTCCTCCCCAAAGTCCATGATGCTATTAGGATGATACCGAATGTTGTAGATTTGTATTACAAAATTGAGCACCTTCTTAGTCAATTTACAATCACAGAAGAGGTGTTTACTATCCTCAAAGTTACTTCCACATATGCAGCAATCAGTGTTTACAGTATACCACTTATTCATTCTTGCCTTGGTAAGTAATCTGTCTTGCATAAGTAGCCAAAACAGAAATTGTCCCTTGGGAGGGGTGACTTTATTCCACACCCAATTTGCCCACATAACCTTATGAGTTTCTCCCTGCAACCATTCATAGCCTTTCTTTATGTCATACTCTCAACAAAACTGCATGTCCCTAAAGTAGTCTCTTACCTTAACCATTTGTCTCCACTTTTTGTGGGATTTTACTAGTTTTGTTGTTGTTGTTGTTGTACCTTAAAGAAACATTACTTTTTTTGGGCAGTGGGAGTGGTTGTATAAACTTACTGCTTCTCTTGAATTGTTATTTTAATACATTGGAATTAATGCTCTCCATGATAATATGATATGTTATATGATTCCTTTTATCTCTTTGATTCTACTTCCAAGGTATCCAAATCCATCAGCTTTTACATATGAGAAACGCCTATTTCGCCCCTTTGAGTACGCTCTTCAGCCACCAATATGGTACAAGGAAGAGCATATTGCTGTAAACAAGCCAGAACTGCCTCATGGGATTGCTGAATTGAAGCAGTATGAAGGACCTCAATGTTTTGTCATTCCTGGAAATCATGGTCATTTGATGTTCTTTTCATGCCTAGTGTCATTACAGTAATAAGGTTTGATTATGAAGGGTAGTCTGCGTAACAGGTTATAATTTTCAACATTCTTATGTCGTTTGCAGATTGGTTTGATGGACTTCAAACTTTCATGAGGTACATTTGTCACAAAAGCTGGCTAGGTGGTTGGTTTATGCCTCAAAAGAAGAGCTATTTTGCCCTTCAGCTGCCAAAAAGGTGGTGGGTATTTGGTCTTGATCTTGCACTCCACTGTGATATTGATATCTACCAATTCAAGTTCTTCTCTGAATTAGTAAGGGATAAGGTACATACTTCTTGTGAAATTTCCTTAAGTATTACTAAAGGATAGAGGGTAGTCATATTTAGCATCATCAGAGCCTAATACATGTATAATTTAATATGATGATTTGCTGATTATTCCAACAAAAGTTTTTATCAAACATTATCATTTACTCAATTTACATTATATATTGACACCACCGAACCACACCAATGGACCACTAGCGGACACCACCACCTACACTGACTTAGGTACATATATTGACTCCGTTACATTGACTATCCACCATGACAACATTTTTACTCTCCGTCACTAAAGAATCAAAATCTCATTACTGCTAAATATTACTTGGGCTTGTGGTTAAAATAAGCTCCGTATAACTGTAGGAGGCAGCAATTATTTCTATTTATACTCAGTATATACTAATTTCTTGTTTATCATGTCAATTTATTTGTTACCATGCATAAAATATATAACATGATAAATAAACCTTCCTTTTCCGCACCTTTAAGATTTAAGATATAGTGCTATAAATGTATGAACTTATGTTGATGTGTTTGGTGGGAAGAGAAGAAATAGAGGGAAGGGAAGTAGTTAATGAGAACATAGGAGAGAAGGAATGTTTGAATTGAAATGGTTCCGCATGTAGAAAAAGAAATTTATAATGAAAGTATACTATTACCAATCAACATTCTCTCACCATGGAAGAAGAAAGGATAAAATGGTAAATTAATTTTAAGTGTGATTTTGCTAAACCCCACCTTATGAGAGGAGTGCTATGTTGTGGGTCCCAAACTCCCAATTGAAAATTTAAGATTTTCACATCTTCTAAACCATGGGTAACAACAGAGATGCTGTTTTTATTAGGCCCTTGATGCATTGCTGCATTTACAACTCAATACCTCATAGAATGTAAGAAGCAAAGTTTGCTATGCCATTTTGATGTATAGTCCATTATTTACTCCAAGCAAATTCATTGTCAATAATGACTCTTTTTGCTTCATTGGAAATGGATGCTTAATGCTTCCTTATCATCATGTGAAATTCCTATGCTTTCAGATCTACATTAGCATCTAACAACCATATTAGAACAAGAATTATGATTCTATATGCGGATGTTCTTTTCAGGTTCGAGAGGATGACTCTGTGATCATTATGACACATGAGCCTAATTGGCTCATTGATTGGTACTGGAATGACGTGACAGGGAAGAATGTGTCCCACTTGATACGTGATCATTTAATGGGGAGGTGTAAACTGCGAGTTGCGGGGGATTTGCACCATTACATGCATCATTCCTATGTTCCCTCTGACCGGCCACCTTATGTGCAACATTTGCTTGTTAATGGTTGTGGTGGGGCTTTTTTGCACCCTACACATGTCTTCAGAAATTTTGAAGAGTCCCACGGGACATCTTACAAGTGCACAGCTTCTTACCCGTCGTTTGAAGATTCAAGCCGGGTATGAAGTTTGAACCTTCTGGTGTTTTGTATTTTCAGATAAATAAGTTCTTCATTTATAGATTCTGTAATTTGGTTTTTAATGAACACAGATTGCATTGGGGAATATATTGAAGTTTCGAAAGAAAAATTGGCAATTTGATATCATTGGAGGCTTCATATACTTCTTATTAGCATTTTCAATGTTTCCCCAGGTAACTTTATGGCGGACTTTATCGTTCTCACTATCCATGATTATTAACACCTTAATCTGAAAAATATTGATGGTCTAAAGCTGCCATTATTTTTTCATAATGTATAGTGTTAACATAACACTATTACATTTATGGAAAAAGAATGACAAAATTTATGCTAAAATGGAGATGCCTTTCTCTCGCAACTTTCTGAAAGAAGAATAATGAGATGGTTATCGTAAGTGTCACCATCATAGGGTTTTCCACTTGCAAGTATCATGAAACATCAATGAGTTGACATAGTTAATCTATGGGTTTTCAATTATACTCACCTTATACTGTGCTTCAAACCTTAATCTACCTTGTTTGAATTATATCCACCTGTCCATGTAATTATGATCATGTGAATGACTAATGATCTCACATTGGTTTCAAGTGTCATTTAGACCACATCTTAAAGGACAATACCTTTTCGGGCCACGTAAGAAGCTTCTTTAGGGCAGTGTGGGATTCCTTTATATACATGTTGGACTGCTCATACATATCATTGGCGGGTGCTATGTTCTTGTTAGTAGCTGCAATATCTTTTGTTCCCTCAAGAGTGTCTAGGAAAAGAAAAGTGATCATCGGGATCCTTCACGTGTCTGCCCACTTAGCTGCAGCATTAATACTCATGCTTCTGTTGGAATTGGGTGTTCAGACATGTATTAAGCATAATCTCCTAGCAACATCAGGTTAGACATCATATCATTTCTTTACAGAGTTTATTGCACCAATGCCCCTTGTGGTTAGGTAAATGTGCACTGTTACATCGTTGCTCCTCATGGTTATGATATTGCTAAGCCAATGCAGACAGAAATATCCTTCAAATATTTGGTGAATAATTCTGCAGCCCCCTATGGTTTTGGAAATAGGCACCAACACCCCTTTCCTTTTTCTTTATTGTTTTTCCTTGTTCTTTTCTTTTTTTATCATAAAGAGAAGCAAAATGTTTGTGTTTGAAATAATGAAAAGTTAGTTTTCAAAACTATATTTTTAAAAAAGTTTTAAAAAAGAAAAAATGTTTCTGTTTGAAATGAAATAAAAAATTTAACATATACTTCATTTGTCAAATTAAATATTTTTAATTTTTTTCTTCTTTTTTTGAATATGTCGGGACCAAAAAAATATTGAGTAAGGTATTTTAATTTTGATATATGGTTAATTACATACGTAGTATTAATAACATTTTTTGGACCGATGCGCAAGAGATTTCCTTCATGACTTAATTTTCCCTATTCTGTAAAAGTATTTTTTTCATATACTTTTCTTTTTCTTTATTTTCTTTTCTGTTCTTTTTTCTTTTACTTTAATTTTGATTAAAATAAAAGAAACGGTATAAAATTATTGTTTAAAAAATCAAAAGGGGGAATAAATAAATAAATAAATCATAAAATGAACAAAAAATGAGAAATGAACTTTAGTGTAAAAAGTGGGTCATTGATTTTTGTATCATAAAAATGAACCAATAAAGACCTCTTTTGGACAAAAAATAAAAATGTTTAACTTAAGACAAATAAAGTGTACGTTAATTCTTTTTTATTTAGTTGATTTTTTTATTGCAAACAGAAAAATTTTGATTATTAAAACAATACAAAAATAATTTTAAAAAAGAAATAAAAAAAACATTTATAAAAAAATAGTAGAAAAAAGAAAAATGTTCCGTAATAAAGAAAAATAGGGAGGGGGTGCTGGTGCACATTTATTGGCGTAACAATATCATAACCATGAGGGGCAATGGCGTAAGTTTTGAAACCATGAGGAGTAACAGTGCACATTTACCGAACCACAAGGGGTGTTGGTGCAATAAGCTCTTTCTTTACACTACGTTTGGTTCAAGGAATTTGGAAGGAAAAGAAAAGAAAACATTTTTCTCTCATTTTCCTGATCAAAGTAGGAGGAATTTGGTTTTCCCTCCTCTTAGTACAATTTGCCTTCTCATTTTATTTTCCTTTCACTTTTCTTTTTTTCCTCTCTAACCAAACATGAAAAATGGTTTTCCCTCTCATTTTCTTTTCTTTTCCCTTTCAAATTCCTTGAACCAAAGTACCAAACATAGTGTTAATTAATGCATTTTGAATGTTTCTTTTCACCTCTGAAGTATACAATCATCTGCCATACATTCATTCATATAATCTTGGCTTGGGATAGGACATGACTTAATTAGTTAACTAATTAATGATGCAGGTTATCATACTTTATATGAATGGTATAAGTACGTTGAGAACGAGCATTTCCCGGACCCCACTGGTCTTAGGGCACGTATTGAAAGATGGACATTTGGTCTCTATCCAGCATGCATCAAATATCTCATGTCCGCTTTTGATGTACCCGAGGTAAGAAAACTTTCCCCATATAGAAAGAATGAGGGATGATGATGCAATATTGATTGATGGATGATGCAATCATCATCAGGTAATGGCGGTGACAAGGCAAGACATATGCAAGAATGGGATGGATTCGCTACCCCGAGGGGGCGCTGTAATATACTACGCATCTGTCTTTCTTTACTTTTGGGTTTTCTCAACTCCGGTGGTCTCTTTGATTTTCGGGAGCTATCTGTATATATGTATCAATTGGCTCCACATACATTTCGATGAAGCCTTTTCATCCCTCCGTATTGCGAACTACAAGTCCTTTACACGGTTTCACATAAACGTCAAAGGGGACCTTGAAGTTTTCACTCTTGCAGTTGACAAGGTAAGAAAGTGTAGTGTTGAGCTGTCCCCTAAGGGCCTGTTTGGGTTGATAATTTTTTTAGAGGACTTTGTGGGTCTTAATTATTGTGGGGTTTCAGGTCCCAAAGAAGTGGAAGTTGGACACTAATTGGGACGCAGAACAACAACAGCAGAAGAAGCCAAGTTACCTGTGGAGTTCCCCTAGCAAATGGAGAGCAGCGTCACTACACCACGATCCCCTTAACACCGTTCGGGTCGTTGACCATTTTGTCATCGAACAAACGGGAAAAGAAAATCCGGGTTCCGCGGATTTGACGAACGGGTCAATAATTGACTGACTTGTTCTGTTACTAGTTAGTGTTTGTTTTGTACAAATGTGATGTAGTTAGTTGGCAACTAAATTGGTTCTTTAGATGAACCATTGAATCCTAGGATCTAGCTAGTTTTTTTTAAAGGATGTTTCTTGAGTTTGTCTTTTTCTGTGTTGTATGACTAGAATCAGTCTGTTTTCCCACATTTACACAAATTTGGGAGGAGGGCTAATACATTCTCTACAATAATTAAAATACTAGTGTGGGTTTTGAGCAAATTCAGGGCTTAAATATGAGTAGTTTTTCTCATTTAACCATACACTACAAAAATGAAAATTGGATCACTATACTATTGTAGTTTACATGTGTTGAGGATTTTAAGACTACTACTCCTCTGTGTAGAGAAACTTTTCATACATGGTTCCCTTCAGTTTCTCTTCCACTTCATCCCAATTCTCAATCTGTTCTGATAAAGCGCCGCCGCTATGTATCCTAACCTGCAGACTGGTAAGGTTTCTAATCGGCAGGCCAAGAAACTCTTGAACGTCTCTAAGCTTCTGCACATGAAATGGTTGCAACATTCATATGAATGACCAAACATGTTTAACCCAACAAACATAATGAAGCATCTACTCACGGTGCGGTTTTTGACAATATCTTCGTAGTAAAACACGACATGCCTCGTGTTCTTGAAGTAATCCAAAGCGGTAGCGGAATTCTTCATGGTGCTTCTCAGCTTGGGTATGAGTGATGATATATTCACACTTGGTTTGTATTTGGCTAGAATTTGAGCCTACAAGTAATGAAAGAAAATGAAACCAAATTAACATGGTGGGGGTTGTTTGTAAGAAGACTAAAAACAATGGATGGGAGAGAGACCTCTTGTGGAGTATGAACATGAGATTTGTGTGTTCCATTTAATAGCTTAACATCCTTGTCATAAGTATTTGCGAGTAGAGAGATCAACCTACGCAACGGGTTTCTTCGTAGTAGAAATACCGTAGACACGCCGTGTTTTGTAAAGTAGTCCACAATCACCTCGTGGTGCACCATTACTCCCTTCACAATTCAACACAAAATCTAGTGAGAAATGATACGTTTTAATATGTTTTGGTGCATTTCATTAAAAAATCATAAAAAAAGTAAAAAATAAAATTTATCAAAATATTTATATATTTTGTAGCACATGGGAGTGACACAAAAGTTAAGAAAAGCAATATTGTACCCCGCATGGCATGACGTATTATACTTGTAATTTATATTGAATTGGTGTTAAAAAGCACTCTATCCATCTTTTATAATCTTTCTCCTTTTGACTTTGACATTATGTTTAATTCAAAGAATTTGACAGGGAAAAGAAAAAAAATTAAGCTGGAAAACAGTTTTTCTTGTTTGGTTAGAGAGGAAAAGAAAAGAAAAGTGAATGGAAATGAAAATAAAAAAACGTAAAACATACTAAGAAGAGGGAAAACCAAATTTCTTTCATTTTGGTTAAGAAAAAATGAGAGAAACACATTTTCTTTTCTTTTCCTTCCTAATCCCTTAAACCAAACAAAGTGTCAAATAAATATGTAAGAATTCCAATTTTGGATAAAAAGAATTCATCCTTGTCCGTGTTTGAGGTGATATGTTATAAATTTGAAAATATAATATTATTGTATATTCATCATATAACGAGAAACTAGATGGAATTAGAAGGAAGGGTGAGAGTAGGTTTTTAATAAAAAGTGAAAAATGTTTTGTGATCGGTAAAATTAATTTTTTACTCTGTAATAAGTAGTACAAAAAAAATGAAAGGTTTTAAAGGATGGAGAGAATAAGGTAAAGTAAGAATGAATGAGAATCACACAAATATTAAATATGCTCCGTAATTAAAAACGGGGCTAGCATGATATGTGAGAAAAAGTAGTGAGACTAAAAAAATAATCAAGTTTCTATGACTATATTAGTGCAAAATTAATTTCAAACTTTTAAAGGAGATTAGGAACCTGATTAAGCATCCATTTGAAGCCAACTGCAGCCAAACACTCATTCTTTGAGGAACTAGTGAGAACATCAAGATTGTAAACTCTATCAAGAGTCCTAATCACCATTGAAGCATTGCTCCTCCTCTCCCTAACATTGAAGATTTCTCCATTTGAGCTCACATTTGTGTGACTATTCAACAACGTCTCAAACCATCCGCTCCCCGACCTTTGCATCGACAAGATCGCGAAAAACCGAACCGGGTTGCACACGCATTCCTCTCTGCTCATTTTTCATCAACCAACTCATCATCTTAACCAAATCTATCCAAAATTAGTTAATGACAGAAATACCTAACTAAGATTAAAACATGTTCCACGTACCAAGACAGACTGTAAAATGCTAACACACAATGCCAGATTACAAATGCTTATTAGTGTCAATACGTACTCCTACTCGGGAGATAAAACATAGAAGATAAATTCCATGTTTTTAATTTTATTTAGGTAGATTTTTTTTTTTATTGATTAATCACCTACCTATATACTATGATTACCTGCTAAAAGTCTGAGGTTTAGGGAAATGTTGAAGAGGAATCTCCCATTTTTGGAGATTCATGGGAATGGGACATAAGGGATCAACCAAATGGATGTTCATGGAATCTGAGCTTGTGAAATTACTTGTTTGCCTCACACATATAGAAATAATGTATACCCCACAGACCACTGCAAAAAGCAACACCACCTGAACCAAAGAGTAGTATATCATCATTAATTTTCTAAATGTAATTAAGCCTCTTTTAATTATTCACCAGAAATAAATTAATAAATTGTTTTATTTTCTCTAAAAATTTTATATGTATTAAAAAACAGCATTACTTGAGAAGAGCTTACCTGGGGCTTCCATCTAATAAAACTCTCCATAAAGTGTAAGAACAAGAAGGAAGAGAAATAGATTAAATGTTTAATGGGGTTTAGGTGAAATCATGATTTACAGTACTGTATTATGTTAGAAAAACGAGGAGAAATAAATGGTCTTTAGAAAAAGTCTCCTTAGATCAAGAAAAAAAACACTTTCCTATTTAATTACCTAATGTAATTTGCTAATGGGAAACAATATACTTAGTCAAATAAAGGTTTGTCCATTGTCAAAACTCGAGTATAAAAAGATTTTTTAGGCTTTAGAAAGAAGTTCCTATGAAAATATAGTACGGAGTACTCCGGAGTCCGGATATAGTGGGTGTTTCACAGATCTTATTTATAAGTTGATCAAAACTACTTACTCCCTCTGTCCCAAATTACTTGTCATATTTGCTTTTTCAACAGTCGTGGAAACTTTTGTTTATTTCTACATTTTCATTGGTTATTTGATAAAATAAAATATTCTTGACACCTCTTATTTCGAAGAACTTTTCATTTAGTTTTTTGATATGTAATTTTTATTTTTTATTTCTTTACCAATATGTAAATAAAATGAATTGAAAAAACTTGATATTTTGCCTCGATAACAGAAATGTGACAAATAATTTGTGACGGAGGTAGTATAAGCTATTTTTAACCTATAAGTCAGCAGATGATGTGTTTTTTTGTGCTTACAAGCTACTATTAAGTCAGAAAAAATAAGTAGGTTTTACCCACTTATTTTCAAACTAGTCTTTTTGTTTCTCCGTTTTGATTAGATTATTTACAAAACTGTCTCACTTATTATGAATATCCCCAAATGACTTATATACCTGAAGTATTATTTAAGTTATTTTATCTACAGAAAAGAATTTATAATTTATAAACAGATTATAAATTAAAAATTGTTTATAAGTAATAACTCAATACAATAGTACAAAGAAACACCCTTCAAGCTTGGTATTGAATGTTTGGAAAATTAGAAGCCAAAGCAAGTAAGTGAAAATCTTATCAACAAAATGATTGCCACTCGAAAGGAAAATATAAAAAGCCCCCTCAAAATCTTAGGAAAAATACTAAAGTAAAAAGTAAAATTTTTAAAATGTATCAAAATAGAATTATTTCCATCATTTCCGATGGTGACAAAATTTCACCATTTTTTTGGCTTTGGAATGTGATGGAATAAATCAAAATAGATCTTTAAACTATCTGCGTTTCTTTAATTAATGAAGTGGCAGTTAGTCAAGCAATGCAACTTTCGACGTTGAGCCGGAGGTCTCTTTGAAAACAGCCTCTTTACTTTTGAGTATGGGAAAGGTCTGCGTACACACACGGACACACCCTCCCCAGACTCTACTCTTGTGAGATTCAACTGAGTTGTTGTTGTATCAAAATAGAATTACATTTTTTACTCTAAAAATAGGAGTTAAAATACATATACAATGTCAATCATGAAATGTCAATATATAGTATCACATTATTATAATAAAAACTCTTATTTTGAAAAAAAACATGAAACTTAGTACTTTATTTATATTTTATTTTTATTTTGGATTTTCCCAAAATCTTGGGGGCGAGGGATGTGAAAATAATGAAACTAATATGAATGATTTATTTAAAAATATAAATAATCTGTTTAATTCTATATATTTTGAATAATTCTACCTTTCAATTTACTTATAAAACTCTGGATTGAAAATTATTGTCTTCCCAACTTAGTCTTATTAATACTCCGTATTACTTATCCTAAAAAACACAGTTTTATGTACTCGTATTAAATAGTACTCCGTACTCTGTATTAATAGTTACTCAGGACTGAAAAACGCGGCAAAATCACTAGGGCATCATACCACACCAAATATTTGCGGCGAGCAGTGATTTTTTGCGCAGATTCTGCTTTAATATGGAAGTAAATCGCATCGAAGAAGAAGAGGAGGAGGAGGAGGAAGAAGATGAGTTTGGGTTTTCAAGGAATTACTTTCTTTCGAAGGAATTGGGCTCTTCTCGGAAAAAATCTGCTCGGAAACTCTCAGACATCAATCTAGTCGATGAAGAGGTTCTTCTCTCATATATGCATACACTACCTCCGTCCGGATTTCCTCGCCCACTTGCTTTTGCTTGGCCGGAGTAGTATCTCTTTTACATAAATCCATATGAAATACTGGAAAGTTGCGATCTTTGGTTGTTTTATGCAGGAATTGAGGGAAGCTGCTGCCAACATTGAACCCAAACACGAGAAAGAAATAAAGGATTTGGCCATAACCTATAAGCAATCGTATTCGGAATGGAAATTCGTCCTAAGGTTTTTGATATGTTTGCTGGGTTGTCGTTTTCGGTTTGTTTATCTATATGATTAACTGATCAGTGATGACTATCTGGTATTCAGTGTAATTGTGTTTTTGGCTTCACATTTGAATTCCAATATTGTTATAGGTGTGGTTTTGGACTTCTGATGCATGGTTTTGGATCAAAGAAGGCCTTGATTGAAGATTTTGCTTCAACCACTTTGACTGAGTATTCAGTTGTCGTGATCAATGGTTATCTCCCCTCTATCAATCTTAAACAGGTAAGCTTTTTTTTCAATACTTCATGAATCCTACATATTTATAGTATTTTGTTGTTTTACCTACATTCTTCATATGGAAGTTGTTTGTAACTCTTTTCTAGAAAATAGAACGAAATATTAGCTCCAGGTTCATTTTATCAAGCAAGCATCATTTTTTCAGATAAAAAGTGTTCAAAACCAAACACTTCGAGCAGAGTAAGATCTTTCCTAACCTTATGGAAACACAGTAAAGAAAAAAAACCATCACATGTGCTTATACCATTAGAATGTATGGAAATAAGCCGGCCCAAACTGGTACAGAATTTCTCTGCTCTCCGTGTGTGTTACATATGTGCTACATTTCATTGTCTAATCTTTTTAGTTTGTTTTAAGGAATCTTGGGGCATGTAAGGTTGTGTAAACTGATAAGCATCCTTTGGTAATGGATTCCTCTCTAGGTAGCAATAACCTTAGCCGAACTTTTATGGGATCAGCTGGAAGCATTGCGAAAGATGAGTTCAGGGAGTCAGTCGAAAAATCAACAACCTTTCAATGCCCGATCAGTGGATAACCTTATTGGATTTCTAAACGAACCATTGCCCTTGGATGCGGATGACGAGGAGTGCTTTGTTTGTGTTGTTGTTCACAACATTGATGGGCCTGGGCTGCGCAATCCAGATGATCAACAGTTTCTTGCAAGGATTGCATCTTGTGCAAACGTCCGAATGGTTGCTTCTATTGATAATATCAATGCTCCTCTTTGTAAGTGTCATCCTTTTAAAAGAATTCATGAAGTTTTTTTTCTACTTGTGTTTGTTTGTGCATTGTTCCAAATGTCATTGAGTCATTATATTTCTGTGCAACCGGTAAAATGGTTTAAGTGATAACTGATATAGCTTTAATGTGAGTTTTGTAATGAAAAAAACCAGGAAGCTTTTCTTTTTGCAGTTTGTATTCTCACATAAGGAGAGTGGTTATCCACATGGTATGTTTGGATTCCAACATAATTTGCTATAAAGGAAAAATTGTCATGTGAAGTTACTTGTTTGTGTGTGTGTGTATGTGTTTGGTTTTACCACAAAAAAATGAAAAGATTAATAGAATATGATTGGTTTTTTATAATAAATTTCTCCAAATCTCTTATTTGTTTTCCTCGCCAATTTCTTTTTTGTTATGGGAAGTATGGGACAAGAAGATGGTACATACACAGTTCAACTGGTACTGGGTCCATGTGCCCACCTTCGCACCCTACAAAGTTGAAGGAATGTTTTTCCCTCTAATCCTTGCCCATGGAGGTAGTGCTCAAAGTGTGAAGACAGCATCACTTGTCCTCCAGAGTTTGACACCCAATGCTCAAAATGTATTCAAAGTTCTTGCGGAGCATCAGTTGGCCCACCCCGATGATGAAGGCAAGTAATATCTACTAAAACTTCTAGCTACCTTCAAAATCACAATGACCTTATTTGGGAACAACATTTTCAAATAGCGTTAGGGTGACTAAAACTAAACGCTTCTATTAGATAACTTTTTTGAAATGCGGAAGCTGTTATCAAACAGGCACCATACCCTTGGCAGAAATATTTACAACTATTGGGTCATTCCTTCTTTGGGTTCCCGGCTTTCATTTTTTTCTCACTTTAGGTCTTTTTCACCTCATATCTACTCAATTTCCAGTTGTTTTAACAGGATAAGTGACCAGAAAGGGCCAAAAGTGGAAAGAAACCATTGTCATATACAAAATGTGAGATAAATGAAAGTGGGTTTGCAAAAGAGGGACCAGCAGAAAAACAAAAACCTTTCCAAAATAAACCAGACCCTAATGTCTGCTTTGTGTTTTTTACTTTTTTTTACCAGGGATGCCAACCAATAGCTTGTACACCATTTGTCGGGAGCGCTTTATAGTTAGTAGCCAGCTTACCTTGAATTCACATTTGACGGAATTCAAGGACCATGAACTGGTCAAGAGCAAGAGGAAATCCGATGGCCAGGATTGCTTGTACATCCCTCTCTCGGATGAAGCAATTGAAAAACTTATCGCGGAGATCGGCCAATAGACACACATGACTCTCCTTGTCCCATAAAGAGTCCTATTTGAGTAATGTACGACTTTTGTATCTACCATCTGATGTAATAGGTTCTTTTGACACACATAACGAGTGTCATAATGTGTCACGAGACGATTTGGGGGTCCTACGGTGCTCCGTTTGACTTCAAAGTGGTTCCTACCCCCTATCCTCCAATCCGCCTCAGACCCGTTTTTTTGCTGGCAAAACATGGTGTGGGCTAGGGGAGATGGGGGGAAGAACCACTTTGAGCTCAAAGAGAGCACTGAAGGCCACTCAAATCGTCTGGTGTCATATGAACCGCAGTCTTTAATTTTGGTAGATGTATGAAAACATCTACAGTTGTTCAGTCATTAAGGGGCAGTAGGTCAAAGGTTAACCGGGTGAACACGATTGTCCTTCAGCGGTTCGGCGTTCCATTTAAATATCATGTTTCGTCAGTGGTCTTTGACATTCTCCTGGTCTTCCCTCAGAATTTTACATTCCCATTGTAACCTTATTCTGGCTTGTAAAAATTATGTTGATTGTATTATTGTAAATTTGTAATGGATAGTTGTGATTTATGCATAGATCTTGCCACCATAGCATTTGTGTTCTTTTTTTTTTAATATAAAAAGAATTGTCTATATTTGTGCTCCTCGATGCATTGCAGTTGTGGATGGTTGTTTCACATATAGAGTCTCAGGGTCTTTTGTACAGAGTACTCCCTCCGTCCCCTTGTATTTGTTCAAATTTGACTTTTGGAACTGTTCATCTAAGCACTTTGATTCATCAAATTCTCTCAATGTGTAAGCCTAAATATAGTCATGTGTGATCTTGTTTGATTTGTCTTAACATATAGATTATTAATATATAATTTTTATAATTTTTTAATATACAAATTACAAGATAAAATAGATTAAAGAAGTGCATTCGATGATGTGTAAAAATGAAAGTGGACAAATAAAGGGGGATGGAGGGAGTATTACTTTTACGAGTAATATTTTTTGCTGTCACAAAACAAACCTTTTATTTTTGCAGAATTTTATGATCTGATATCAAATCATTCATCAAATCCAAGTTAAATAATTTAATTTAGAGTAAATTCCATTATTAGTTCTTTATAACAGGGGGTTTTCCATATTTAGTCTTCTATTATTAAATATTATCCCTGTAGTTCTTTTATATATATACCTTTCCACAATTAGTTCTTTTTATCTTTTGCCATGTTGATGTTGAAGTTAATTTAAAGACTAAAAGTATAATTTGACATCAACCTTATGTCCAGTGACGTATTCTAGTATTGGTTAGACGGACAACACAAAAATAATGACTATGATTGTTGACTAAGATTCCGACGAAGGATCCCGTCTGTAGACTATGATTGTACTAGAAAGCGACTGTAGTTCACAAACGGCGCATCAGGAGCGGTCTTTGAAATTGTGTAAGACAAGAAATATATATTATCATTGTGAAATTACACTTTTAGCTCTCAAATTAACATCAAATGATAGAAGATCAAAAAAGACTATTTGTGAAAAGATATCCATAAAAGAAAGACCACCGAGATAATATTTGATAATAGAAGATTAAATAGTGAAACTCTCATGTTATAAATAACCAACCATAGAATTCACTCTTTAATTTATTTAAACTCCTTAAAAAATAGACATTTTAACAAAATTAAAGATTTTTTTGTTTGGGACTTGTAACATTTTACTCCGGAAGATCACAATTGCCTTGAAATTGGTGTGGGCTACCAAAGAAATTACTCCGTACAAGGGAACAAATAAAATTCAAACAATCAAAAAACTGTAGCATAAACCGAATCGGGTTTCGACCTGTCTCCTCTTCCTCAGAAGAGCTAAATAAGCCATGGTTTCTTTTGTGGGTTCAGCTCCCCTCAGCTTCTGCATCCGCGATAATGGCGCTTCTTCTTCTTCTTCTTCAACATGTTACTCCACTGCGAGGAAACCATCCAATTCGTATTGTTCTTTTAGTTTCAGTAGAAAGGAATTCAATAGAAGAATGGTTTCTGCTTGTGTGGCGCCTCCTCAAGAGGCAAATGAATTTTATTCTTCTAATTTCAATGTGAGTTTCACAGTTTTTTAGTTACTTTTCGCTCGAGCTGAGTATCGAACATTCTCAATTTTGGGATCCAATCTACTCTTCGTTATTTCTGTGTGTCGTGTGATCAATTGCAAGTTTTAGCTTTATATATTTCGGAATTGTGTTGGGTGTTTTTGCTAAAACCTAATCGAATCCGGGTCATTGTGTTGGGTGTTTTTGCTAAAACCTAATCGAATCCGGGTCATTCAGAACCCAATCTATCCTATTTCAGTAATTTTATCTATCCCTTATTTATCTATGGCTGGATTAATGATCACACTTTCTTCAATTCTAGGGTTCAATTAAACATGAGAAGCTGAGCTTGGTAGGGGAGCCTGGTGATGGGTCTGACGTGCTGATTGAGTGCAGAAATATATACAAGTCATTTGGAGAAAAGCATATTTTAAGAGGTGTGAGCTTCAAGGTGAATTTTCTCTACGGGTTTCATACCATTATTTCAGCGCACCTTTGTAGGCCATATGAAAATGCTTGAAGTTCATGTTGTGACAGAGCTATTGGTTCTGAATCTCATTTGGGAAGGAAAATTTTTTGCATACTCATCGAGTAATTTATTTGATGTGTATTAATTTTCTGACCAAATCTTAGAAGATACCGTATAATACTTGTTGATCATTTTGTTCAAGTGATCAATTAATAGGCATGAGAGTGTTGTCAGTTTTATCGGATTTTCCCTATAAAGATCTCCTTTGCCATCCCTGATTTTGTCAAGTTAGACATGTTATCATGAGGTCAATAATCACCGGAGTTAATTATGTGGATTTACAGAACAAACTTCATGATATGCAGTGACCCATACAAATATCTTGTCGATTTCCTCTAATAATGTCTCATTTGTAAAATTCGTAGAATTCATAAATATAAATGGACTGCACAAAAACCTCCAAGGTGAAATCCCCAAATATATTTAGCATTGCAATGGATAAAGTCATAAGAGAACTATGGTATGCGATATTTTAAAGATGAGCAGCAGGTTGACGAGTCACGATATTTTGCTTAGTTGTAATCCTTAAGATTGGGAGATGGAAATAGCTTTCTTTGGTAAAGCTGTACTAGGGCAAGCAGGTGCTGTGTGTCACTGCTCAAATGGCCCCTCATTAAGTAGTTTTTACAAGATGCTAAGACAAAACCTATGTGGATCAAATCAAATTTTCTTGTCACTGACTGTGGAAATTCAAAGCTTCATTGAATAGATTCTTACTTTGGGAAACTCTTTTAGTGTTAATTCACAATTCTAACATGTGATAATCATTTCTTCCATTCTTACTCTTAAGTCTTAGTTTTTTGAAATGATTTCACACCATTGGTTTCACTTGAGAGACAATATTGAAACTGCATTACACAGCTTTTTCTTAAAAGTTGTGCTGGAAAAGAAAATGGCCCTATAACTTGGGACTGAATGAGCATAAAGCAAGATATCTGAAAGACTTAATTTATAATGATCACCATCATCATTTGTCTTATTTTAGCCACCATGTGCATCCTCCTTAGATACGGCTTGGAGAGGCTGTTGGAATAATTGGGCCTTCAGGAACTGGGAAATCTACAATCCTAAAAATAATGGCAGGGCTTCTTGCTCCAGATAAGGTACTACTTCTCAAATTTGAGAAGGTCATATTATAACAGACATGTTCTATTTCTTTTAGGGACTGTAGTGTTTCTCATTTTTTGTACTTTCATTCGTTGAACAGGGCGAGGTGTTAATCCGAGGTAGAAGACGCCATGGACTTATCAGCGACGAGGAAATATCTGGTCTCCAGATTGGCTTAGTGAGTAATTTTTTTTCTTTTCTTTCATTTTGCATAGGATTTAGTTGTTTAGTTTCATGTACTTATTGACTCCCTCCGTCCCAAATTATGAGGGTTGTTTGGATTATGAGGCTTGGAAAAGGTTGTTAAAACTGTATTGTTGAATCAAATCATTGGATGGAATCATAAATAATAAGATTTCTCATAATGTGTATTAGTTTAGAATCGTAAAGCAGTCTCCGTATTATTCTTCCGGTTTGTGATTTTGCATGCGATTTGAATTGATTTGTTGCGTTAGAATCGTAAAATCATACTCCCTCCTTCCCAAAATGATTTACACTTTTACTATTTGAGACTCACAATAACTGTTGTTTACTTGTGCGTTTTCATAAGTCATTTGATAAAATAAAATAATCATGTCGTAACTTATTTTGTAGAACTTTTGATTTAGTTTTAAATATGTAATTTGTACTTTTAATTTCTATACCAATTTTTAGATAAAATCATTTTAAAAAAGATGGAATTTTACTAGTTGTTAAAAGAGTGTAAATGAATTTGGGATGGAGGGAGTATGATTTTACAATTTGAATTGTGATATTAACAACCTTGGGATTGAATGAAGTTCGTTTTAATTTCATGTAGTAATACTTCATTTAGCACTAGTACATATTCAAAAACTAAACTAAAATTGTATGATTAAAATTAAAAGAAATTGAATTTGGTAATGACAAATTTTTATATAGAAATTATGAGAGTTGGTGGTTGACCATATGAGTAGCCAAAAGGAAAATTCAAATGGGAATGAGGGATTGGTACATTATAATTGTCTTTTTTTGAGCATATTATTATTATTATTATTATTATTTATGCTTTTCGCATAAACAGGTGTTTCAGAGTGCAGCACTTTTTGACTCCTTGACAGTTCGAGAAAATGTTGGTTTCCTTTTGTAAGTCACTTCTGCTGAGGTTTTTGATCTCCCATTAATTTTTAAAGCACTGAAAATCATGATATATCTCTAATGTGTTTTATCTCTTACCCTCGTTCTCTATTTTAATCTAAAGGTATGAGAATTCTACTATGCCCGAGGATAAAATTTCTCAGCTAGTGGCTGAGACCTTAGCTGCTGTTGGGTTGAAGGTATAGTAAAATGATTTTTATTTTATTTAATCACTTATATTTATTTTATCAACTTAATGCTTTTATTTCACTTTTTAGTTGGTTGTTTTTTGTATGGAATAACTAAATGTTTGAGCAGGGTGTAGAAAACCGGCTACCTGCTGAATTGTCTGGTGGAATGAAGAAAAGAGTTGCTCTTGCTCGTTCTATAATTTTTGATACAACAAAGAACATTGTTGAGCCAGAGGTGGTTTTGTGCTTTACGTTTTTTCATCCATATTAGCTGCCATAATTTGACTTCTGCAAAAAAAATCAGAATGTCCCCGAATCATATGTTCCTAACACAATTTTGTTTCTCTGCTGCATTGCTCATTTTAAGACCTGTCTTAGTGTATCAAGGCCTTGTTTTGTTTGATTTGGCAGTCGTAATTGAATTATAGAGAATTCAATTACTAAAAGCTAGATAAAATCATGTGTGAAATTTTGAGAATTCACCCAATTCCCGGGAATGGGAAGTCAATCCAAACGGGGTCCAGATGTCCATTTTGCTTATATTGGTCCATGTTTATATCAACACTTTATCTTGTGTACTTACCTATGGGATTTATTGCATTTTAATATCTTAGAGATGATATTAAAAAACAAATTTTGATGAGTTTCTATTTCAAGTGTTTCATTTCTAGACAGCCTTTTGTGTTGATGTGCTTGTTAAGTTTGCAATTATTTCATTTTGGTGTAAGGTCCGTTGTGCTCTCAGAAATACTACGGAAAGAAATTAAGAATAGGAATATTGGAAGGGAAGGAAATGTGGTGAAAAAGAATAGATAGGCTGAAATCAATAAGTGTTTGTTAGTTATTTGTTGATAGCATTTTATATATTTTTATTATACAAAAACTAAGAAGTTTAAATGTGTAAAAAATTAATGCAAAAATCATATTTCATTTTCGTTATTAAATGGATGCTGAAAAATGGCAAATCCCAATGTTGATTGGTTAATGGCAGGTGCTTTTATATGATGAACCAACAGCTGGACTTGATCCGATTGCTTCAACTGTTGTGGAAGATCTGATCCGATCCGTTCATATGAAAGGTGAGGATGCCCTTGGGACGCCTGGGAAGATTGCATCCTATGTTGTGGTCACTCATCAACACAGTACCATTAGAAGAGCAGTAGACAGGTTTTGATTTCTTTCTCCTTCATTCTTTCTTTGAAATATTGGTTGTTGGATTTGGTTCTTGTTCGGTGTCTCAGGAACTCGCCCCACGGTTAGAGTATAAAAAACATTCCAAGACCTCCAACCACAAGCTTGAGCTTGTGGTTAAATTGGTTTCTTGACATGGTATCACAGTCTTCCATGCTCAGAGGTCAGGAGTTCAAATCTCACTGTCACGGCACCCACTTAAGTTTTTTTAACATCCACGCGCAAAGCTCGAATAAACCCTATTGTTAAAAAAATGAAAAGTGTATTATGATCTCTGGCTCAAAAAGGAAAGGGTATGCGTAGGCTATTGTTTCTTCACGAAGGAAGGGTTGTTTGGCAAGGAATGACTCACGAGTTCTCTTCATCAACAAACCCTATTGTTCAACAGGTAATTATACTAATCGATTTGTTCACTTCATCAAGAGTTTAGGACAGAATGTTACTAATGCTGTTTCGTTTCCCAGTTTGCATCGGGGAGCTTAGATGGACCAATCAAATACCATTAGCCACTCTGAAAAACCATAGACTATCTTATCGTTGATGTTGCTTGAATCCACACTTTTGCAAATATCACCACCATACCTTGTGAAGAGTTAGTTCATTACACAAGAAGAAGATGAAGAAGAAGAGGTACATGTTTTTTTTGTAGTCATGGTGATGAATCATTTCGTCTTCGTGCTACCATTTATCAAACTGTCAGAATGTATGTTTGGTAAATAGCGCATTTGTTTAGTTGTTATGCCCGAAACTTTAAAAGCGTGCAACAAGCTTATCCTTAAGACCGGATTTCCAACATTCTCTTTTGCAACTACAAGAGATGAGAGAACTCTAATAGAGTTTATTTTAGCAACGGGAGCAAAAGTTTTTTTTTTTTTACAATAATCGATCCCATAAGTCTGAGTGATCGATCCCCTCAACTGTATCAATTTCTTGCCCGTTTAGGTCCGTAGCCTCATGGGAAGAAATTCATTGTCGTGTACCAAAAGTGGAAAATGGAAGTCGGGTTTGATTTTTACATACTCAACTTATTTGTGACACTTTTTTTAAGAAAAATATGTTACATGTGATGTAGGCTATGTTCTCCTTAATAATTTATTCTGATTACTTATTACTTTTTCTTATTGGGTTCAGACCAGATCAGACTAAATCATATCAACTCAGAAAGAACTTTAAATATAACTATTTTCAGATCAAATGAGACCAGATCGAAATTTATTCTAATCAAATCAGAATCATTCTGATCAGGTGAAAAGAACATGACTGTAAAATAGCTTCTCTTACATTCAAATAGACTATTTTAGACAAAATTATGTTCGGAAATGTGACATTTTGTGGGATTAAATTTGTAAGTGGACGTGAGGTTCACATAATATTTCATGGACCTTAATAAATATATAAGCATTTTTTTATAATGTCACGATAAACATTTGCTCCGTATTTAATTTTTTTGTTCTAATAATTTGCTTATGATAGTTAGTCAATCGCAATATATGTACGATGTTTTCCGTACATCCACGACGAGTACTTATTTGCGAGTAACTTATCACTCATTGTCGAGAAAATACTTATTCATGTAGATGAGGGTGAATATAGTCACACCCTAAAAAATCAAGAGCTATATATGCAAGTAATTATTACCGTAAAAGAATTTATTGTGCACCTTGGGTACACACAAATTTTCTTATATAAAATGAAAAATGAGTTTTTTTACTCTCTGGTCGGGAGTGTTCTTCTTGTGAAAAATGAAAAATGAGTTAATAAAATATTCAAGTAATCAAGTTTTGTTTATTATTTGCACTATTCATTTCATTTTATCGGGAGTGTAACATATTCATCTCACCTACGTTTTTGTAAATTTTTGTGTGTAGTTTTTAAATATATAATCCGTATATTTTATTTTTATATTTTACACCGACAATTTAAAATTGAATTCAAAGTAAAATCGATTAAACTTTCGCGTAATGAAAAGAACACTTGAGAGGGAGAGAGTGATCATATTACAAGATCCACGTCCCTCTTAGGTATATATATTACGGAGTATCAAGTACGGAGTACTTTGGTATACATGAACCTTCTATATAAAAGAAATTTAGAAAAATAAGCTAAATATATACCTATGTTAATATTGAATGAATATTTATTAATCACATTTAGACCTGTCAATGAGTCAAGTTCGGACCGGCCCATAGTATTTGATACTCGTACCCTTTAAAAAAATTAGTCCGTATATCTTGACTCAAACCTGTTTACCCGACGGATCTTGAAGTTTTATACTAGATTTGAGTCAATATACAATTTGGTGAATTGACACCACGGGCATAAATGGAGATTTAGACATATTTGGGACTATTGGAGGTGCTTTGGTCGAATTCGGACATTGTCGATGTGAATGTCTCAAGGCATAGTATGGTCTCAATACAAGATTTTCACAAATGTACGTTAAACACATATGATCCAAACTTTGGTGAGTTGACACCCAGACAAGATTTGGCTTTTTAGACATATTTGAAACTGTTGAGGATGCTTTGGTCAATTTTGGACACTACCGATGTGAGAGTCTCAAGGCATAGTATGATTTCAATACAATACCTTAACAAAAGTACGTTATGCATTTATGATCCAATTTTTGGTGAATTGACACCATAGATCCAATGGATCTTGAAGATTTATAGTATTGTGAGAGACATACTCCCTTCATTCATTTTTATGTCCATTTTGATTTTTCTCGATAGACTTTCTATATACTCCCTCCGTCCTATATCTTTCTTCCCGGTTTGCAAAACGAAGAAAAATTCTAAGTTTTTTCAATCTATTTTATTTAAATATTGGTATAGAAATAAAAAATAAAACATACATATTTAAAAACTACACCAAAAGTTCAACAAAACAAGTGGTGACAAGAATATTTTATTTTATCATATAGGCCATGAAAAAACACAAATAAATATAAATTCCCGTGAAGTTGGAATAGTGCTTTGGAAAGATCATTATAAGACGGAGGGAGTATATACATACATACATACATACATACATACATATATATATACACATACATACGTACATACATATACATACATACATACACACACACACACACATACATACATACGTGTGTGTGTGTGTGTGTATATATATATATATACCATAACGTTTGAACTAAAATTTATTTTTTTGTCATTTCACATTTCCCCCATCCTCCCCTCGCCGTTTCTTAATACAGAGTAGGTAATATGAAATGACAAAAAGATAAATTTTATTTCAAACATTATGGTTTAATTTTAATTTTTTTAACTTTTATATATATATATATATATATATATATATATATATATATATATATATATATATATATATATATATAGTTATTGAAAGTCTATCGAGAAAAATCAAAATGGACATATAAAAAAGATTGAAGGGAGTATGTCCGTCACAAATCACAATACTTTTCTTTTCCTCAAATATATTTATCCTTACATGTTACTGAGATAAAATGAAAAGAAAGAGGGATAACTTTTTAGAGGCCCATAGAATCTTCGTTTTACTTTTTTAGGTAGAAATTAGACTATTGAAAAGGAGTAAAAACGAGTGTAAACATAAAGGATGAGCCCTTTCACAAGGGCGGCCTGAGAACCGGCACTTGAGATGAAATAAATTGAGTTATAATCACAAACATGTTGGCAAATGGTGAAACATGCACCTGATACTTGCATAAGTCTTACACTTAATGTAGTTGCTTCCGAGTATAGTTGCCAAGAAATGAATTTAGATTTAACTCCTTTGACACTCTTTATTTAACGAGCTGAACTACGTCCACTTAACTACAACAATAACAATAACCTAGTGGAGTTCTGCGAGAAGAGAGTAAAAATATTGTAAGAAAAACGAGAAGAACCTACTACCAATCCGCAATTAAAATCTAATTTAGGTGAGAAGAAGCCAGGAATAAGACCTCACATCCAAAGGAGAAGAAGTACTCCTCCAGCACAGATTTCAAGAGAGAAAAGGAGAGAAGCTTCACCGTGTGAGCGTTGAAAGAACACGGAGCACGGCCGTGACGTTACGTTACTTGCGTAGTTCCATCGTCATCTAGCCCTCTGGGTATATTTACGCCTGCAAATGGTTCAACCCATCTTCATCTTTCTCAGCTAATTAACCAATAAAGGATATAGAATCGCAAGAAAGAAAGAAAGAAAGAAAGCCCGTGTTGTTCAAAAATCGTGTCTTTTCTTTCTTTCTTTCTTCTGGGTGGGGAAGGTCGTGTGCTTATTATCGGCGGATCTTCAGATTTGGGGATTTGGGGTTTGCTGAGAATGTGGGGTTTGGGCGGGAAACACTATTGGGGGAGAAAGGAGGGATCAGAAGGCAAAGTGGAAGGGATAGTGGTGGTGTTTGCGTGGATGTTCAGTGAACCCTCTCACGTGAAGAAATATGTCGACTTTTACTCATCCCTGGGCTGGAATTCCCTCGTTTGCCACTCCCAGTTTCTCAATATGTATACCCCTCTCCCTTTCCACTTTTACTCCTCCTTCTTCTTCCTTTTTGCTCACTGTGATGCCCAAATGCTTGAAAAAATCATCTTCTTGACTTCTGTTGGATCGTGACGTAATTCAGAGTTTATTTACTCTACATTTTTAACTGCTTCTTCTTCTTCTTCCTTTTTGCTTATTGTGATGTTGGAATCTCTGAATATTCATGTTCTTGAACACTGTTGGATCAAACCCACAGTTCATTGATTGGTTATTGGCTGCTAGAATTGGAGTTTAAGTCTCGATTTCTTTTACGCCAGGTTCTTTTTGCCCTAATTTAAAACCAGAGTCTAGATTTTATGGGGTGTATGTTTGTAAAATGGATGGTGCTTTTCAACATTAAGTTAATGTGGTGAAGTATTTGATCTTCTTATTGCCTGCTCACATAGTCTGGTTTATAACTTTCACAGGTTTTTTCCTGATAAAGCCGCAGCCCTGGCGTTAGAAATTGTAAACGAGCTTCTTGAGGAGCTAAAAGCCAGGCCATGCCCTGTGGTCTTTGCATCTTTCTCCGGCGGCCCAAAAGCCTGCGCGTACAAGGTTCTTCAGGCAAGCGACATTCCTCGCGTGCAGAGGATAACATATATTTGAAGTAAATCCAACTGAGCACTGTTCATCTAACTTGAGAAATGTCTTTTGCAGATAATTGATGGCAAATGTGAGGAGTACTGCAATTTGGTATTCCCTATAATTTCATCCATTGAATGAGGATTATGGCAAATGTGACGCACTTCTATTATTCTCATAACAGAGTACAATAATTCTTTGCAGGGAGGAGAATACAGTCTAGTCCGCGACTGTGTTTCTGGACATATATTCGATTCTTCTCCAGTAGACTTCACTAGTGACATGGGTACTCGGTTTTTCCTTAGCCCAGCCTTTTTCACCACGCCTCCTCCTCCACCCTTTGTCAGATGGTTGGCGCATGGCTTTGCTTCCAGTCTAGAGTCACTCTTTCTCAGCAATTTCGAGGCACAACGTGCTAATCTATGGCAAACTCTATATGCTTCCGTGGTAATATAATAATTCCAAAACCATTATAAAATTCTTTTTGGGCCTGCAACTATAAGCTTGAACTTGTGGTTGAGTTGGTTCTTGTACACGTTCTTATCAATTTCTGCTCTTGATTTTTGTGGTCACTTTCTAGTTGCAATTCTTGTTTTTGCAGAGCATTGGAGCGCCTTATCTCATTCTATGCTCAGAAGATGATGACATTGCTCCGTGCGAAACTATTCGCAATTTCGCTCAGCGGTTGAAAGATTTGGGGGGCGATGTTAAACTCATAACATGGAGTAGCTCTCCCCATGTTGGTATATAAAAATTTCTTTTTTTCCAAAGAAATTAACCACAATACTCGTAAAAGTTTATCCCCGAACTCTTCAAAAATTGCGCACATTCCCCCTAAACTTTAAAAATCGCACCAATGGTCCCTGAACTTTTAAAAACGTTGCATCAATGGTCCCCCCATGCTAGACTCAAGAGTGTATAAATCACGCATTCATCAATATACTTGTTTGGAGCTTGATAAAGATTTATTGGTCAACTTTTGCAGGTCACTATCGCCACCATCCCAAAGAATACAAGGAGGCAGTAACTGAGGTTTTGTCAAAATCCTCTTTTGTCTATTCCAAACGAACTTGTCAAGTCAAAAGTGAGAAGACGACGACCATAGAACACAGCAACTGCAAAAACTATGAGCAACCCAGAGAAAGAGAAGGGGGAGATCTTTGGGAAGAAGGGGGTGATGATCAAAATGTTCCAAACATTTCCACCCGGACGAGAATCAATGGCCATGGAGTGCTTGGGGAGATTCTGTCTGATGTTTGTGTGCCGAAGAACGTGGAGGGGTGGGATATGAGCATGGGACCAAGGCATTCCCCACGTTTGAGCCTTACGAAGAGTGTTCGTCGTTCCAGATTATGATATTGTTCTTCTGAGTTTGGCTTTAAGGTTGGGGGAAATGCTCGAGTGCTGGTTTTATGAGTATTTTCCAGTTTTTTTACACGATTCGTCTTTTTTTTTTCTCGTAAAATTCTTGCTAAATGCAGAGAAGTTCAAGACCCAAATAGCAAATAAACAGTTGCAACTTTTGATTTTCATGTCTGGTTTATGAATCTGATTATGGATTTGAAGTCTTTAGGGTTAATACCACGGGAGCCCTCTGTGGTTTACAAAAGTGCGTCAAAATCCCCCATGTTTTCAAAAGTTATTTGTAAAGTCCATGTGGTTTCTAAATAGAGCACGCATGCTCCCCTTACCTATTTTTAAAGCAAAAATGACATTTATGCCCTTTGTTTTCTCCGATCTTGAATTTTTTCATAATGTACTTTTGAAAACAAAAGATTTTTTTGGAGAATGTTACAAAAAAATGAAAAATAAAATATTATATACAAAGTAAAAAGTGATAATAGTTAAAAAAAGTAATGAAAAGAAATAAAAATATAAAAAATAGTCTTTTTCTTTAACTCCATATTTTCTTTCATTGTTCTGTTCTTCATTTTTTAAAGTCCTTAAAAAAGTATTTTACTTTTAAAAAACAAATAAGTTAGAATTTTTAATTACAGATAGAGTGAGTATATGTTGTCCAATTTTTTATTTTATTTATTTTACTTTTACTTATAATGAAAAAGTGTATTTTATTTCATTTTTGTAACATTTTCTTAAAAAAATTATTTTTTTGAAAATTGAATAAATAAAAAAATTTAATTTGAGAAAGAGGGTGTATATTTTATTTTATTTATTTGTATAACAAAAAATGTAAAGAAAAGAGTGAAATTTGAAGATAGAGAAAAACCAAGGGCAAAAATGTCATTTCATGTGTAAAATAGGCAAGAGTGGGTGTTTGTGCACTATTTAAAAACCACAGGGGTTTTACAAATAACTTTTGAAAGTAGAGGGCGTTTTGGCGCTCCTTTTGTAAACCACGGGGGGCATCCATGCTATTATCCCGAAGTCTTTAGGAATGATAATTAATGATAATGAAGATTGTACCTTAAAGTTGAACTAAAAGGAGTAATTTACCTAAATAGGACTAAAACATAATGACTTTCCCAATATAGGACCATATGTTTTTATTTCCCAATGTAGGATTTTTGGCCATTATCATGTAGTCATTATTCAAGTAAATGTCCATCGTTACTGGACATTATTCTTCTCACTAGGTCATTATTAAGTCCTATTTAGGGAATAAAAAAGTTTAAGTCCTACATTGGGAAAGACATTATGTTTTAGTCCTATTTAGTGCAAATTTTACAACTAAAATCGTACCATATCGAACTTTAATGGTATTGAATCGTTTGTCGTGTTTTGGTAAATGAGATTTGTTATTTTTCATTCCAAACTGGTTTTGAATTGTTATCAAATGGGATAGAAGGAAAATGAAGAATTTTCATTGTTTACGAGGAGGGAAATAGATAAAGAAATACGAATAAATTAGGAAAGAAATTTAAATTGTATTAGAACAAATATTTTTTCCTTTGGAGTGAAATAAGAGAGAAGTTGAATTTCCATCATACTTTTACTAAAAAAATAATGGAAATTGAATTTTCACATATTTCTTTCTCTACTTCGGTGAGTTCGGTCATATTCTCTTCACCTTTTAGATATGATTTAAATGTAGCTATATTTAAAGTTGTTTATGATTTGATTTGAACTGATTTCAATAAGAAATAAGAATAATTTGAAAATAATGTCTTCTTCCCCATTTTCTTCTCCTCCTTTTCCTTCCCCTCAACTTCCTTCTATTGACAAACAAAGCATTAATATTCACGTAGTATTATTATTATTATTATTATTATTTTTATTATTATTATTTTTATTATTATTATTACTATTATTATTATTATTATTATAATATATTCTCATCATCATCTTCTTCTTATTCGGTGAACATTATATTAGCAACGGAAGTGAGTGTCATCTTATAATATTTATCTGAATTGTATATATTTTGCGGTGTTTCATTCAAAAAATTGATATTTCGTAACTTTAATGCACTTGATCTTGGTGAACCTACCCAGCCGTTAATTATACCTTCTCTAAATTGAGTACTCTTGCCCCAAAATGAATTATATTGAACTCAAAACAAAATAAAATATTAAATTTTTTCAATTCATTTTATGTAAAGATTGATATACAACTAAAAATAAAACTTACTACGTATATACTTATATATTTAAAGTTCTATAAAAACAAAATGTAACAATAATATTTTATTTTATCAAATAAAAAATAAAACTAAATTTCTAATGATTTTTTTTTATAATAAAGGATGGTTGAAATTGTTAAGTCAATAATTCCACGTTGACAATGTAATCCAGAGGCAAAATCCACCCTAAACTTTCATGTCCGATTTCCTGCCGAGTAGGATGAGGAAGAAGGTGTTGGTGACTGGTGCTTCGGGCTATTTGGGCGGCCGCCTCTGTCACGCTCTCCTGAATCACGGCCACCGCGTCACGGCATTCGTCCGGCCAACTAGCGACCTCTCCTGCCTGCCTCACGCCGGCAGTGGCGGCGGAACTTTCGAAATCGCTTTCGGAGACGTCACCGATTACCAATCGCTCTCGGAAGCCTGCTCCGGTTGCAGCGTCATCTTCCACGCCGCGGCCCTAGTTGAGCCCTGGCTTCCGGATCCATCTAGATTCATCAACGTATTCCCAACTCCAAAGTGATTGATTTTCTCTGTTAATGATGGAGTTCAGTTTTGTAATTTGAGATTTTTCTTATTATTTGTTATGCTTCATTTTTTTAGGTTAATGTTGGAGGATTGAAAAATGTTGTACAAGCTTGGAAATCAACAGGATCTGTAGAGAAAATCATATACACGTCCTCGTTTTTTGCGCTTGGATCAACAGATGGATATGTTGCAGATGAAACTCAAGTATGGTACTCCCTCCGTCCCAAATTAATCCATTTTGTCGTTTGCTTTTTCACGTAGTTTATGAAAAGTAGGATTGTTTGATTAAGATTTAAGGAAATGAAAAAGGATCAATATGGACCACTTATTCCATTCCGTTTATAAGGAATAAGAAGTTTACTTTGAGACAACCCAAAAAAGAGAGTAGGAAGATTAATTTGGGACACAGGGAGTATTACGGTAACTCAAACTCTCAAAGTGTGGCGATTACTCAATTGAACTGAAGTGAAAGTTATTTTTAATATTAACTGAAAAAACTGAAAAGGGCTGAAATGAATTGAACCAAAACTAGTGAACCGAATTGAATTGAAAGAGACTGAAAATAAGTTGAAAAGAACATATCTGTAGTCAATGAGTGTGATTCAATTTTATTGCCTTTTCGTTGGTTACTTATTATAACTTGTAAACAAATTGTTCAGACACATTCTGGAAAATTCTTCTGTACGGAGTATGAGAAATCTAAAGCAATTGCAGATAAGATTGCATTAGAAGCTGCAGCTGAAGGGGTGCCTATAATCGCTGTTTATCCCGGTGTAGTATACGGTGCTGGAAAGATCACGGCTGGAAACATCTTTGCTCGCTTGGTAATTTTTCAATCATTAGCACTTAGCAAGCAATAAATTGACTGTCTACTTTGATTGAGTAGGCACACAACAGAAATTTTGGATTGATTTTGAAATTGTGTGGTGATAAAAGTTTCATAAAACATTGTGCAATTCTATCACTTTTTCTGCTCAAAGTTACTCCAAAGTTTTTAGTTTTGAGTTGTACTTTCTCTAGTTTGAGTAATACTTTTGGGTTTAAAGTCATCACTTCTGTAAACAAAGCATTTCGAAAAAATGAAAGGCTTGAAAAGTTATGTGTAGTACTTGGTCCGAAGGTATTAATTATGAGCCAAAAAGTTATAGGATGTTTGATGCAAGTGTTGCTATAGAACTTACGGAGCATATGCATTTTTAGACACTCTAGTGTTCAAGAGTTTCTTTCTGGAAAATGAAGTTAATAGAGTGGTACTAGTCGCCAAGGGTCTTGGAGTGCAATTGAATAAACTTGAGAGATGTGACTTTATATAAGAGATCTCAAGCTCAATCCCATTTTCTTCCCTTAGGTGTTGGAACACTTGTTGATTATTACATCTAGCCTATTTTTTGTTCCAATTTGTTTCATAGATGACAATAAGATGCATTATAATCATCATCATGATCTTAAAAGAGCTGAAGAACCTGGCATTGACTTTGCTCTATGTTCTTTTGTTAGACATATAAAATCTTTCATATATGTTGTGGCAGATAATAGAGCGGTTTAATGGGCGTTTACCTGGTTACATAGGCCAAGGAAATGACAGGTATTCCTTCAGCCACGTGGATGATGTCGTGCATGGGCACATTGCCGTAATGGATAAGGGTCGCCTTGGGGAACGATATCTTCTCACGGGAGAAAATGCATCCTTCAAAGATGTTTTTGACTTGGCTGCGGAAATCACTCACACAAAGAAACCTTGTTTTGCTATCCCATTAGCTATTCTTGAAGTCTATGGTTGGGTATCAGTTTTCTTCTCCAGGATAACAGGGAACCTTCCTTTGATTAGCCCACCAGTAAGAAATCTACCCATATAATTTTCAATTTTTTTTCTTTTAAAATGCACATCATTGAAGGATACATTTTGTAAGGGTGGGTGGGGAGGGGGGGGGGGGGTATCAGGTATGTAGTTTATTATTGAATGATCCTTGTACATGCCTTGGCTGGAACAGGCAGTCCAAGCTCTAAGGCATCAGTGGGCTTATTCATGTGAGAAGGCCAAGGCAGAGTTGGATTACAACCCCAGAAGCTTAAAAGAAGGGTTGACAGAGGTACTCCTCTGGTTAAAGAATTTGGAATTGATTGGGTACTGATATAAATATAAGGGAAAAAGACTAAAGTAAGAGTAAAACATTGAAAATATACCAAAATAGGACTTCCATGTTTTTATTCCCGAAATATGAGTTAAAATGCACTTACATTACCAAACGTGGTCATGTACATTACCAACCACAATGCAAAATCGTATTTTGAAAATAAAAATTTGGAAGTCCTACTTTGGTATTTTTTATATTTTATTCTTATTTAGAGTGATTTCTATATAACTATAATTGTGTTAAATGTGTGCGCGCGCTCGCGAGCACTATTTCACCTCTCAAAACAATTTTTGTACTCCACATACAAATAATCTCCACCAAATGACATCATCATTCTGTTAAGCGAGACTTTTTGGCACCATAAATCAGGGTTAGTCAACATGAATGTAGACTTTATTCTCTTAAAGGTTCAGAGCTCCGCAGTTTTATAGTTTTGACTTTCATACCAACAGCCATTTTTAGACTACTCTTCCCGTTTTAGAATTCATTACCGGTGCCATTTTGAAATTAACGAGGCAAAATCTCATGCTTCCTCTCCCCCAAAATGTTTTACATTTTACGCAAAATGAAGTTAATTTTTAAGTTTTTAAAATTTCTTTTATTTAAAGATTGGTATATAAATTAAAAAATAGAACTTACATATTTAAACACTACGTCAAACGTTCTACTCTTTCCGGTCTTAAAACCTTTTCATGTTTTGACTCTTTTAGCCAAACTACGATACTCTTTGACCATAAATTAAACATAATCTTAATAAATAAATGTTATAAAAATTTGAGATATCAAAATACTTTATTAAGATGAACCCAACTATATTAAATATATATTATAATTCAATATATTTTTCTTACAATATATGGTCAAAGAGAAGTTGAATGTCATCGCAATTTTTTAAATAAACTAGTAAGCAAACTTAATTGTATTCAACTCACTAAAATCGTTTGTCTTTCTTCGGTTCTTCCTAGCAGAATGCAACTCAATCTCAAAGTTTTAAAGTGCATCCAAATAGCACCCAATAAATCACTATTTTAGATGTGTGGCATGTCCTTTAAGTTATTCAAAAAAAAAGTCTAGTTATGAAGCTTCGATTAGGATTTCCCTATTAAATTATTCAAAAAATCAAAAACTGAGGTTCAATTTTATTATATTACTTTTGATAAGTTGACACCCTATTATTCCAAATTCATATCAACCAAAGCAGTTCAATGTGATTATGTTCAAAATTGTCTCCACCACATTAGAATACTAATGTAAAATTCCGTGATTTTTCTCAAAGTTTTGACGCGTAAAAGATAAAATAAGAATAATAATGTATATCCGACCCAACCTGGAATGTGAATTTTTCTAACAAATATAGTGACATACCAAGTCTGACATAATTTGCGACAACACCGCGTGAAAAGATGAAATTATGTAGTCACTCTACGAATAACGTATAAAATCTCATCATTCTTTAAAATTATTTTATTTACAAATTAGATCACATTAAATTATATAAAAAAAAGTATAAAACAGGATGTGAGAAGAAAAGTTATTTTATAAATTGATCAATGATAATATACGAATAAATACAGAGTATAATTTACTCACTCCGTCCCAAAAAGAATGCAACAGCTACCATTTCGGTCTCTCGATAATTTTTGTTAGTTGAGTGATGCTTACATGATTATGAGGTTCACATTTAAAATGTGGACTTCTCGTATTTTTCATAGGTCTGCATGTGGACATTTTCTTCTTTGCTAAAGACCAACTCTTTTTATGTCATAAATGCACTAAGATCCATAAAATAGGCATGGACTTCAGGTCCACAGAAAAATTTGTCTTGTTTTTGTTTACTCGTTTTGGTTAATATTCTTGTCATATCTTGTTTTGTAAAACTTTTGATGTGCTTTTGAATGATGTAACTTTCACTTTTTATTTCTCTACTAATTTTCTAATAATATAATTTAAAAGAGATATAATAACAAGAGACATGGGACAGAGGATGTGATGTCACTAGTGTCAAATTTGGTAATCCCTAACATGGGCTTCTTTTTTTATAAAAAAAAATTGGAAAGTGAAGTTTTATTTGAAAAGGAAGCCGGTGCATTAAAAAAAGAAGGTAAAATGGGCGCCCTGGCGGGGCAAAAGGAAAATATCCACAAGCAAACAAATTTCTCCGACGTTTAAACGCTGGGATCCGCGTTTTCCCGACGACGACGACGATGATCCCAATCTCCTTCTGCTCATCCCTAATTCACATTTCTCGCACGCAATTCTGAAGATTTTTGTTTTTACTGGGTAATTCCCCCCATTCCCAACTCTGTTTCTTTATTCCCCATTTTTCTCATGCGCGAATTGCATTTCAATGCAATCTTCTCCCCCATAATTGCAACAGAGGAGGATCCCATGATATAGTTTGAAGAAATCTCGCTCTCTATTGATTTTCGTCTTTACTATCTTTAAATTTCTCGTTTGATTGAGCGATTAATGTGCACGCATGGTCTGTGATTATGCAATGGCGTTCACTCCTTCAATGTCTATGTATGTGTTTTACAGGGTTTGGGTAGGGCTTCTTCTATGGTCTGAATCAAAGTGGAAGCTTGGGTCGGAAGACCTAATTAGGGAGAAAGGAGGTTAGATTTTTATTTTTTGTTCATTTGGTTCAAGAGGGAAGGAGGATGTCAAGAGGAGGTGAGAGTCAGACGGTACCATTGTCAGTATTGTTGAGGCGCGAGTCTGCCTCCGAGAAGATTGAAAACCCCGAGTTTTTTCATGGTGAAGCTAGCCAGAGCAAGAAAGGTGAGGATTTTGTGCTCGTCAAGACCGAATGCCAAAGGGTTCTTGGAGATGGGATCACAACTTTCTCCGTTTTCGCGGTATTTACGAATTGTTTCTTTCTATGACGCTATTGTAATTTTTGTTGTTGTTATTACTATCATGTGCTTTAGCTAATGTTGTTACTACCTCTCATGATCATGTCTCTGCTGGCAGTCATGGTGTTCTGATTTGGAATGTGATATCTAAAACTTTCGCAATAGGTTTTTCCAATGTATGGAAATTATCATGAAAAAGTGATAGATTGAGATGGTTGAAATTGTCATGTTCATCACGAGGTCGACATTGTAAAATCAATATGCAAAATATGAAGCATGAGGGCTGGTTAGGCTTATCTGTTAGACAAGTTTCCCATTTTTTGTATTTTTAAGAAAGCCCCAAACCCAAATTGATCCACGGGATACGTATTATAAAATAACCCTCTTGTTCTTTAAAAGATAGATTTACACATGCCCCTCTTTGGTTCCTTTTGCAAAGCACACACACCCCATGTCCTTGAAAATTATCCACAAACAACGGATGCTTGTATACATAGTTGTGGGTTCCTTCTGCAATGTATCTGCATACCTTTGTGAGGTGAACAAGATCCAGACATGGCTTTTGATTTGTTTCATAAGTGATGTTGACATTTGGTGTAAAAGAAACAGATGAAGCATGATATGCAAGTGATATTGTTTGTGTAAGATACTAAAGAGAACCTTTTTGCAAGTTGGTTCATATTATAAATAGCGTATTACAAGCACTGGGGAACACAAAAACTGGTCTGTTTCTGATGAGAACATACTTGCCTCTTATAGTCTTTTTTATTCATTGACATAGAGACCATTAGCACGGTGGATTTCCTGGTCACATATTCGAACTCGTCCATATCATCAATTTTCCACTCACCATGGTTGTTTTATGCCATTTTAAAGAGACATTTTGCTTTTTCCTATCATACCTCAAAGTAAAAAAAAATAGTGAATCTTTCGCTCCATCGGAAATGGTGGAAGAGGAGATGAAAATTAATGAAACAGGCTTAATTTATTTTCCCCATCAAATTGGGAAGTAATAGTGCACTCTTCAACTAATGTATTTAGCACATAGGAGGCATGTCACAGCTTTGGTTATAAACCCATCTGCATAAAAAATGGTCATTGTGCTAAAACATAATTTCTGAAATACATCTATGAAATGAATATACTGGATTTAATGACAATCTTCATTGTCTAATATCTTATTTTGCCTTCTTTGAAATTCTATATTGGTTAGATAGTTAGATATCTCTTCTGCAACAAAATATTGGATGTTGACAAATCAAATGACAACATCTTTGCAATGCTAATTGGTGTTGTGCTTTATTTGACATTATTCCAGCTATTTGATGGGCACAATGGGTCAATGGCTGCTATTTATTCTAAAGAGAATCTTTTGAATAATGTTTTAAGTGCCATTCCACCAGAGCTCAACAGAGATGAATGGATTTCAGCTTTGCCAAGGGCTCTTGTTGCGGGATTTGTGAAGACAGATAAAGATTTCCAAGAAGAAGGTGCTGTAAAACTTCTGTATAGAATGCTCTATTTAAGAATAACCTCTATTTTATAGGAGTAGTGAGGTTAAACCTAATCCCAAAAATCCATGAACCAGTATTGTTATAGAGATTATGTCTGAGAGTTTTAAGGCTGGTATTACCAGCCTCAATTGCTTTTCCCATGTCCTCTTGGGCAGTTGGGCTGCCTCTCATCCTCATCCCTTCAAACAAAACTCTCTCCACCCTCTATACTGGTGCCGTGGCATCTCTCCAGTCAATCATCTCTTACCTTATAAGTAAGAGACTCGAAATATGACTTACTATTCCCCAACCCCACGCAAGTTCTTTCCTACAAACCCTTCTTGGAATTGTTAGTATGCTGAGTTTGATGTACTATTCTGCACATTTCCAGCACGGACTTCAGGAACAACTGTCACATTTGTTATAATTGAAGGATGGGTAGTAACAGTTGCATCAGTAGGTGATTCTCGCTGCGTTCTTGAATCTGCGGAAGGGGGTATATATTATCTGTCAGCAGACCATAGACTTGAAGGAAATGAAGAAGAGTAAGATAGTCTTTTATCTGATACAAAAGTATGGCTGTAGCTCTTTGAGTAAGGTTTGAATCCCCTCTTTTTCTTAACTAAATAGGAGGGAACGCATTACTTCCAGTGGCGGAGAGGTTGGCCGGCTTAACACTGGTGGTGGAACACAGGTACCATTCTTTTCCATATGAACTATACCCTTGAAATTTACTGATTGGCTCATATCATACTTTGTTTTTGTGTAGTCCAACTTAAATTTTAATTCATCCCCTAAAAGGAGGTTTTCAAAACTTATTTTTGTCCTGAAAAGTGTCCTATTCCAACGAAGGACGCTATTTTCATTGAATTTTATGTAGTTTTTCCAAAACAAAAGTGTTCCAGACAAGTTAGCTATATTGAGTTTAACTTTAAAAACAGAAATGGAAAAAATATGTTTAGGATTTGAATGATTGAAAATTTACAAGTTGTACCCAACCAAAATTTAAAAGGCAGCCTTGAAGAAACTTG